AATAAAATCATGACCAGTAAACCAAGTAAAAGTATATGTGATGTAAGTGTAAACCATTTCTTCCCCCCGCGAAAAAAAAAAAATAAAAAAGACCGTTTAAATCACATCCCATGTGGCCATTTCCATAAACATGTACCAAAAAAAAATCCCATATTTCCGTAACTATAAGTTTACATATGAAATTAAGGTTGACTTCTACTTGCCGGAGTTGCATTAATGAACGTGCAAGATAGTTGCTTATTGGTTACTTGCAAGTTCTTTGATTATGTCCTTGCTTCCCACAAACCATATATCTAAAGCTTGTATTTTTTCTTTTCACCTTTGTTGATGTTGCATCCTCATCTACCTGTCTTTTTTTCATTTTGTTTTTGGTTGACCAGGACAGTTGTTGTAACACCCCTCAAAAGATGAAGATTAATTAAAACTAATCAAAATATATGACTCTAAAAAAGACAGGCTGGTAATAAAGGATCTCTGATATCCATCAAATTACAAAGGTCACATCCCAATCCCGACAATAATAATTCAACAATCGTATGTTTATAAAAGCATGGTAACAATACTGGAGGAATAGAGCATAGAGAACATGAGACAGGGGAGAGGGGAGGGGAAGAGAGAGACTAGGATCCACCTGTAATATTTTATTATAAAAAAGTATTAAAAATGCTTGTTTAGCAAAGCGTAGCCCCACTAATGAGGAAGCAGATTTCAAAGATTCAAAAACAAAAATGACCCACAATCAAGTTTGGATACTTGCAGGCCTTGAAGGAAAATTTAAGGAATAAAAATAACCCTTAACCCTTAAAAAAATATTAAAAAATGAGAATGGTGGGACCCACCTAACGATTATTAAGCACATTAATATCAAGATGACAAGCTAGCGAATTTTAAATGTTTAAGAACAAAATGATCCACAGTCAAGTTCAGGAGGAAAAAAACTTTCAAGGCTAAAATAACCCCTAACTCATTTTTCAAAGTTATATATAAGAATTTTTTGTTAATGAAGCTAATGGTATTAGAATTAAAGAATTAAAAAGATACTTAATAAAATTAAAAAATCAAAATAAAATTTTATCTAAAAAATATATTGAAGCACTTTACCACAAAGCACTCCTATATATTTTGTTAATTTTGTAAAATATATATGAGAGCACTTTTCAAATAAAGCATTCCTATAGGCCTTTAATAAGACTTTTTTTTTTTTTTGGGACGCCTATACAATAGGTGCTCATATCGGTTTGGCTATCGGAGCGCTTATAAATAAAAATGTTGTGATATGTTTTGCATATATTTTTAGGAGCGTTCTTAAAAGAGCATTCTCGCAGGCCATTTATGAATATACCTGTGTGTGTATGAATAGACACACATAATCATAGTATGGACTTAACTTCTTATGTGTCTAGCCAAAAAACCTCATTCCATCTAAATTCACTTTATGTATCAAAAATAAAAAATAAATTCACTTTTAGGAATTCACATTTTATATATACACACACATGTACATATGTGCCCTTGCATACTTACATAGATAGGGGGGTGGGTGGATAATTTCTACCATATGTTTTAATTTGTATTATTTTATTTATGTATATATTCTACTTTCTTTCTTGGATGCCTTGTCGCCTTTAGTAGATGAACATGTAGCTGTACGGGCACGTCAACGCGGGACTGGCTAATGACAGTGGGCAAGAACTGATGAGGCAATTACTATACATAGGCCCATTTGAATTAACACTCCAACATGGAGTAAATGCATGCTGTCCACCTTTTATTGTGTTTTTAACCAAGTAGCCATGGCATGAGCGGTAGCAGTATGGGTCCCTTTGGCATCATTTTAAGGTTTAGTTTTTATAGGTGTGTATGAAAAAATTTCGCTTGGGAGAGGATGACCTTTCAAGTGATATTTAGATTTATTTAAATATTAATTTTATGATTTCCTGCTGTAAAAATATTTTGAATAACCACCAAACACTTGGATCAATTAGTATGAGGATTGGTCTGATTTAACTAATAGTCTCAAGTTTGAACTCTAAGTATGCAGCACTGATTAAATCTTGGTGAGAAATATGCCTTCCAAAGAGGTGCTCTCAATTACCGACTAGATTAATCTGAGTCAAAGATCTAGGATATCGGAACTCAAGCAAAAAAGAAAAAAAAAAAAGATACTTTGGATAACCCAAAAAAATATTTTCAAACTTGTCATCATCTCTACCCTAATTGTTTTGATGATCATACTCAGTCATACCTCTCAAGCACTTGTTTACTACGGCAAATATATATATGTGTGTGTGCGCGCGCGCGCCAAAATAGCAGAGGCATTATAAGTGTAACGTTGATGATATGTGAACCATGCAGGAATACTTTTTGTAATTTATATATTTGCATAAATTAATTAGGGATAATGAAATTTTGTCCTTTAAATTTTTCAATCATCAATTTAGTCCCTAAAATTTAATATGCATTAATCATATCGCTAAAGTTTTTTTAATTAATTAATCATCCACAATTGATCCTTAATTATGATTTGAAAGGAACATAACTCCAAAAGAACTAATTATATATGGTAGGGTTATGAAACTATTTGATTCATAAAGATTAAACTTCAAAGATAAAAAATTAAGTAATTAAAGCAAATTTAAGGGACTAAAATTTTATTATCCGAATAATACACTAAGGGATCATGTGGGTTATAATTCTACATACAAATGCACATTCATCATCCGGAATTTCTCTATATCATCTCAGTGACTATTAATTCTTTAAGTAATTACAGCTAACTCATCTATGGATTTTTGAATTCTTTGACTTTTATGTAATTGATTATACTATTAGCATACCCTACACTTTATCATATCCAATTCTCCTTTGTCAATCTGTGATCTGTCAGTTAAGTACAAGATATAAAGGATCCAATTATCTATATTAATATCATATACTCCTTCCGTTTAAAAATGTAAAATATTTTTAACCAAATCTCACCTTAATAAAAGTAACTACGTATTTTCAAATTAACTCTATCTTTCTATATTTACCTCTATTAAACACCCTATAATAAATGTAAAGTTATTTATCAATAAGGGCACATTTGAAAAAAAAAGGCAATAATTACACCTTATGAGACTAAAAATACCTTATATTTTTAACATTTAACTTCTTAAAAAATGTTTTATATTTTTAAACGAAAGAAGTATATATATATATATATATATATTCTGCAGTTGGCTGCATTATTCATAGGCAATGATCGAGATGATTTAATTTTTTGACTCTGCAATGTAAAATCTCATAAAGTTTGTAGAATTTTATTCACATGCAATAATGATTTCTTCGACTCCGTGCAAGGTAAAACGGTCCACCTAGTTAAGTGAAATATCAATTTAATTAATGTGGGGAAATTTCTGAATTTTGTGGGACCAACTATGAATTGGTATACTCTTTCAAGTCTCTATACAAGGCACTTTTAACTATTTTACTAGAATTCAAAAATAACAATTAACTCATTAAATATGTTTTAAAATAAAAAAAAACTCAACTTTACTTATATTAAAAATAGGAAGAGAGATATACTAACACAATATATAATGAGTCATAAAGTTAAAGTTTCAACAAGGGTAAAATTAAAAAATGATAATAAATACAAAATAGCCCTTATAGTCCCTATTATGAAGCAATTTCAACTATTTCACTTGAACTAAAAAATGATAGATAACTTATTAAATATGTTTTAAAATAAAAAAATTTAAAATTCACCCCTATTAAAAATAGGAAGAGAAATATATAGACACGGTATGCAATGAGTCATAAAATTAAATTTACATGAAGGGTAAAATTGAAAAATGCTAATAAATACAAAGTAGTTCTTCATATAAGTCTTATATTAACAACTAAAAAATCTTTTTAGATAACAAGAGGGAGTAGATAACAAGCATTGGGTATATATCTCTATACATTTGTTTGATTATCTTTTATTTAGCTTAGCAGTCTTTGATATATTTAAAAAAATCGCTGAATTATAAGTTATTTTGACATTAGAAGGCAAAATTTAAAATTATTGCTGAGTTTGAAAGAGTGGCACGGTACTTATGTACCCATGATACTTCCCTTGATTATTTAAGAGGCAATATTTTAAAGAGTCCAAAACATGCAAAACACAATAGAGAAGATAAGAGACATTTTTCTTCACCTTCCTACCTTCCCCTCATCTACTGCTGCTTCCTTGTAATCATGATCCATTTGTGCCATCATTGCTATGAAAATGACTCTCTCTCTCTCATATCATATGCAAATATTTAAAATTTAAAATGTACATCATTATGAGTATTTTGATTTCAATCCATCGTATAATATATATATATATATATATCTAATATGAATATATTCATATTCTTTTTAAATAAAAAAATGAAGCAGCATGCATAAAAAATATCAATTACTTATCATTTTATTAGGAATAATTATTTAAATAAAAATTTTAAAAATAATAAGATATTACTACCGGTTTTTTTCTTTTTTAAAAAACAAAAATTTATTTGGGTAAATATTTTTTTTTATTTAAACGCATGTTTTCAAAGTTTTTTTATTTTTTATTTTTTAAAAACAAAAACTGAAAGCAATGAGCTATTTTGATTTTCTTTTTTTTATTTTTAAAGCTTGTTACCCTTGATTATTGTGAATTATCTTTAATTATGGTCAATTACTATCCTAAGCCATTATCATTAACCGTTAGTGATCACCACTATGACCATTTTTTTTAACTCTAAGATTATTCTCAAATTAATATAATTAAGTGGATTTTTTATTTAAAAAGTTTCAAAGATTGATTTACAAAATGATTTTTATAAATAAAAAACAAGAACAAAACCAAACAAATCATAAAAATTGTTTGGTAAAAATGCTAAAACGTCTATCTAGCTTTATTTATTTATTTTTTTCAAGTAATTTTTCTCCCTCTCTTAACTATAAAAGCCCCTTAAAACCCAACAATTCTTACCCATAAAACATTACTCATTCACTCTTTTAGAAAACAACCTGTTCTCTCATAGAAACACATACTTCTGTATCCCCTTAATTTTCAGCAGGTTCTAATTTGAGAGGGAGAATTATGTGCATCGGCTCTTTAACTTATGGCCCTCTCAGCTCTTCTTCTTCTTCTTCTTCGTCCTCACTTCGCCGTTCATGGCCATCAAGGAGACACCTTCGCTTAGGCCTCCTCAAAAGGTAGTTCTTCTTCCATTGTATTATCTTTTCCTGCGCGCTTCAAAGTTCTTGGTGAGAATCTAGCTATGTTCTTTGTGTAAAGCACAAACTTTGATCAATGAACTGCTGTACCATTCATGATTCAGAAGCAATACGATCTGATATAAATTTTATATTTTTCTCTGATACTGATATTGCCGCCACTCGGTGATGATGAGCTTCATGTGTGGTTGTCTTTCTCTCAGCGAGAATAACATCATAGGTTTCTGTAAAACTACTGAAGCTTCCAATTCTACCATGTGAAACTCCACGTATTTCTTTAATGTTGTTCTGGTTTATATATATATATACACACACCCCAAATACTTCATCAGTTTCAAATTATAAAATAATTTTAGACGTATTTTATTATCTTAAAATATAAAATAATTTGATAAAAATATGATTTTATTAATGATACTTTTTAAATTTTACCTTTTAGTTAGAAAAATATAGTATGGCAATTTGGATCAACTCATATGATTAAACTAGTAAACCGTTAAACTAATATCTTGATTGATTTAATAAAATTCTTGATTTATAACTGGTTTTATCACAATTTGACTATACATCTATTACCATCAACTTTTGAATCAATATCTTGACAAATTTAATGACCATATAATTTTCAGTACCTTTGGTTTATAGTTTAATGATGAAATATATAAATTTAAAGTTATATTAAATAAAGGGTATTTTTTAAATATTATTTTTTGTTTTTTTTAAAGTAAGTTTATAAATGTTATTATTGAGCTTTAGTGGTATGCATAATCATATTTTAAATTGTCTTGTAATTTGGGGTTTTCTCCATTTCTCTCCAAAGTATGTTGCATACAAGTTGGTTTCAGAGATATTCATGAGAGGATCAAAATTTGTGTCATGTCTTATTGTGAGATGATTGAGGTGTTTTATATATGGAACAGGAAACTGAACGAAGCGAAACAGAGGAAGTTGCAGAGAGAAGAGTTTGAGCTGAAGAACCTGAAACTGTACATGGAGAATCAGACCATCATAGAGGAGAATGAGAAGCTAAGGAAGAAAGCTATGCTTCTTCACAAAGAGAATCAAGCCCTCTTTTCTCAGCTCCAAAAAAAGCTTTCTGAAAAATCATGGCAGCAGCAAAAACAGTCACCAGCTGATACTGTTTAAGTTTTATTTATTATATTCCCAATAGTATGAAAAATCAAGCGGTATGTTGTTGTAGTTGATAAGGATCAACTTTCATATCTTTTTTATTTTTTATGAATGAAATTTAGATGAGTTGAGTTTTAAAAACTTATCATGGACTAAATATGCTTTTAAGTTTTAAAGATGCTTACAGAAATATTTAGAAATTGTTTACGGACAAAATTTTCACATCAATAATGAAATTTGATCATATAATCTTATGGATTATATGTCAAATTTTTTACCAGTTGGGACAACCTTTTTTTGTATCATCCTTTTTTATCTTACCTCATAATTTTTTTATCATGACGAGCCTTTACCAGTGCAGATTTTGTTTCAAGCCAAAAATTAAAATTAAAAAAGGTTAATAACTGTCATTAAATTTCTTTTCTCAACCTTTCATACAGGAAAAATGACAATTAAGTTTTAAGAGGACTAATTAGTTTAAATTAAGTCCCAACTAATTTTATAATACCAAAAAAGTTCATTGGTCCTTCAATGGCAATAAGTATATGAAGGATTTGCAAAGATTTGTAATTCAGCTCCAATTTTATAATTTTATTGTGATGTATTTACATCTTATTTTCTAAATGTTAATAAGAAACACAAATGTTCATCTTTAATATTGAAAAGTATTAAGTTTAATAACTCTAGAGATTTGTAAGTTTGGTTTTCAATTTTATAATTTCACTATAATGAATTTATTTTTCAGATTTAGGGAACACAATCGTTTACATTTAATATTGAAAAATATTAAGTTTATTGTTTATTCTTTGCCTATTGTTTATTCTTCAATCATATTAAAATTTTAAAAATAAGTTGTAAATGCATTATAATAAAGTTGTAAAATTAAGAGTTGAATTTGCAAATTTCTAGAAATGCTAGATTTTTTACCACTAAAAAAACAAGAGACTTTATTGACATTTTAAAATTAATTAAAACTTAACTTAAATTAATTGATTCTCTTCAAACTTAACTATCGTTCTCCCTTTTATATAACATTTTTCCCCACATCTTAACTACAGTGTTCAAATGAAAAGGGCACTTAGCACGTTCTTTTCTAGGAAAATATGGCAAAGTGCTTCTAGAAGTAATTTATAATGAAGAGGGATTGTAAGATTATAAAATTATACTACAATTTCCTTCCAGCTGAAATTAACTTTTTATAATAAAAGATGACATTACACTTAAATTTTAAAATAATAAAAAATTACATGTTAAAATTCAAATGTATTGTTAATTTTGAATGATTTATTATCAAAATCCAAATAAATATTTATTGATGAAGAATTAAAACTTATACAATTAAGCCCATTTTATTTGTTTTTCTATCTTATTAAAGTCCAAATGTATTTCTAATTACAAATGAATTGTTGTTAAAACTAAATGACTTGTTATTTATGCAAGGTAAACACTTATTTCATTAAACTTATGCTCAAGTTTCTTATCTCATTAAAGTCTAAATTGTTAATCACGAATGGAATATTGCCAAAATCCGAATGGCTTGTTGCTTACACAAGGTGAACACTTGCTTCATTAAACTTGTACTATTAGTTTTTCTATCTTATTAAAATTTGAATATCATTTTTTGGACTAGTAATTTAAATGTATCATTAATCACAAATGAATTGTTGTCAAAACTCAAATAGAATATTGTTAATCTTACGCACACAGGCCTTTCAATTATTTTAAACTTTAAGAGTAATGTATTCTTTTCCCAAGAAAAAAAAAATTATTTCAACTGGCTACCAAGGGGTTACAATGTAATTTCAAGATCTTATGTTGCTTTTATGATATAAATTACCTCAAAAGATAATTTATATTTTCCCTTCATTTTTTGATAGATTCAATAATTTGGGCCAAACACGACAGGTCAACCCAAACCCTCCCAAAAACTGTTAAGACTGAGCTTCACTATATAAGCTTTTTAAAGAGAATATGATACTTTAAGCTGATTTGAACAAGCACAACCCGAATTGAGCCTCAACCGCTAGAATTTCTAGCTCTATATATATGTAAGTCAATAAGTTTGGCCAAGCCCGATGGGTTAGCCCAAACCTAATTAAAAAAAAAAGTTAAAATTAGCTTGACTATATGGGTATTTTAAAGGGGTAAGATATTTTAAGTCGATCCAAATAAGCACACCTCAAATTGAACCCGATCCAAATAAACCCAACCTACTCGAATTAACAGCTCTATTTTTTCATATAAAAAATAAAATATTATTAAAAAAAGAATAACAATTGCATCAAAGCTCAAGCTACATACTGGACTACGTCAACTTGGACTAACCACATCCACACAACACACAATAAAAAAACATAAACAAGAAGATATTGGTCCAATTAATAAGAATTTTACTCATAATTCACATAATCATGAGCTCAAATGTCATCATCAATGTGAGAACCTTATTGATGAATAATTATAAATGCCTTTATAAGTACTTTTTGAACCTAAAACATATCCTAACCTAGTGAACTCATGAGATTCAACTCACTTAAATTTGTTTTATACTGAAAAAAGAGAAACATAAACAACACATTAATAAGCCCAAATTGATGCTGTCAACTTGGATCATACATAAAAGACACAAACATACTGGATCATACATAAAAGACACAAACATAGTGGATTAGAAAGATCGCATTACTATATCAAGAAGCAAAAAGATAGGTACCATTAGACCCACGCTTCTGAAACCGCTGAAACTGCATTCCATATTAATGGAGCTCCAATGCTGAAGTTGACATATATAACCATTTAAAATATTGCTCAATGGTGCTTCTTTGCCTATCTTCTAAAAAGCAAAAACAGATCAATGCAATACTGTAAAAGACGAGGACTTCGTGGACCTGAGAGTGGAAAAGACAAGGAACAGCAGGGGGGTAATGACAAATGGATGAAACCAACGGGTGTCGAAAGTGGTCAATAATTAAAATAAAATTATCAGAGTAGAACTTAATGAGCATACATGTGAATCCATTGTTCTAAAGATGATATAAAACAGAAGGATCTCCATTACCTCATGAGTGGACAAATTCACAACTTATTAAACTCCTTTAATTTTCAGAAAGTACAGAAAAACATGATGGTGTTGAAGACAGTAATATATTGAATCAGTGAGGACTAAGGTTATATTCACTTATAAATATGATTAATTATTTTAACTCTCCCAAATCCTCTGGATCCCGTCAACTAAAAGGGGAAAAAAAAAATTAATTTATGGCTAAAAAGTTGTACATTGAACCTCTATCCAATAAACTCATTTTTATGATTTACCTATCACATTCAATACAAAATCATAAAGCGCTAATTTGTTCTATGCTCAATAACTAACTAATACAGATCCACAACATACTTAAAATATTCTAACAGCGATGGTGTCGGCGGCTAGAAATTAGGAAGATAGATCTGAGGTTGTGTTATTGCAGATGGAGGCAGAGGAATGGCAAGGGCAAGATGATCAACAATGGCTAGGGTTAGAGAGACCTAAGTTCTCATCCGCATCCTTGAAATATGAGATGACTATATGAATGAGAATTTAAAAAAAAAAAAAAACAACAACAACAAAGGCGGCACTAACATGTTCGGAACACTCAGAACTGAAAACTAAATAATCAACATGATCCTTAAGATTCCTTTATAAATTTATTTTGTACAATCATATGTATAACTAAAATCACTAATGCGTTGGACTATAAACTTCTAAACAAATGTTTTTATCACTTCAATGACCAATTGATAGCATCAGCTATTAGTCTCTTGACGCTTGTTGGTATAGGGGGATAAAATTATTTAACAAAAAGATCTTGTCATTTACAGCACCATCGACCCATTAGCTGATCCACCTGCATGCATGTGTTATTATACTCCAAGTATGAACATGAACATTATCACAATGAGCAAATACATGCAACAAGTACAAACTTTACATGGAATTCAAAACCTCAAGCGTTCTAATTCCCCTTAATAGCACAAGACAGTAATTTTTCCACCCAGACCAGGCAGCGTTACGAGGGAGAAAGAAACTAAAAGAGCTTTATTCCATATAAAAATTTCACTTTCATAGCTTGCCATCCGAAAGGGCAAAGAGCCCTGCCTGCTTGATCCAAATTAGTTTGAACCTAACAAATACTCAAGTTGAAATGAAGTTCAAGGCCGAAGAAAAGGAAAATGACGAAAGAAGTCTCACACAACACATTTAAACACCACAAGGTCCATTGACAATTTAACAAAAGAAATTGACAACTAATTCAATGGACCTTGTGGTGTTTAAATGAGGATTGAGGAACCTCAGTGATTCTCCCAAAAAATCACTTCGATTTCCACGTCCTAACTATCTAATCTGATCTTTGATTTGATTTGGGCAGGTGGATTCGGTTCTCTGGCAGAGCATCTACAAACAAGGCTCAACAGTGTTTCAAAGAAATATTAGTGGTGTCCCTCTACTGCACACAGTATCAGCGACATGTGAGGGATGAACTCGTGAGTGGGATCCACCCAACCCCCCTTGAGTCCCTATTTCTGTCTGTGCAGCATACTGCATACTCCATAAGGTCTCGTCATTTATACTGCAAGAAAGTAAGATGCGCAAATCTAAGGTGTACATAATGATCATCTGGTCATGAACTTTGGAAAACCCTAAAGTCTCTAAGTAGGATACAAAATTCCATTCCACACTAGCAACAAGTCTAGACAGCAGCCTAAATTAATATCGACCAACCAAAATAAAGTCATCGTCATTGAGAACCTCAAGCTTATCGCCAATGAAATGCTCTCGGCCAATTTGATTCACCAATCTGACAAATGCTTGCCTTTCCTCCAAAGGGAGAGGAACATACGGTAGCCTAAACACAGGCCTGACAACTCCAAGTTGAGCAAGAGCAGTGTTCAAAGCAATGGGATTCGGTTCATTAAATAGCCAGCGGATCAAAGGCATGACCTTTGCAGTCAGAGTCGGATTCTTACCACCAAACATGAGTTCGTGCATTAAGCCAGGAATTAGGTTGCTTGCAACAGATATAACTCCAGTAGCCCCAAAGTCCCATCTAGCATCATGACATTCATCATCGTTCCCGCTCCACACAACAATTTTATTTCCAGTGTAAAGTTTGACCCGGTCATTTCCTACACACTCCTTGATACCTGCAAGGTTTACACTTTGTATTGCCAAGGTTTGAATTACAGATGGAGGAATGTCTTGACCGGTTCGTGAAGGCACATTATATATGATGGTGGGCCCCATGGAAAGCACAGTACTGAAGTGAGAAATCATACCAGCAACAGATGTTTTACCATAATAAGGATTTATATGAAGGGCAGCATGCATTCCAACGGCAAAACCCTGCTCAGAGGCATGAATTGCTTCCCTGGTGGAGTTGCTTCCAGTGTTACCAATAACTCTAATTTTTCCACCAAAGCAGTTGACTGTGTGCCCAATAAGCATTATGTGTTCATCCCAGCTCATTAATTGACCTTCACCAGTTGTTCCACCAACAATAATACCTTCGACCCCATTTTCAATCTGCATATTCACCAAGTCATCATATGCTTCAAGGTCAAATCGGCCATCAGGCAGGTAAGGAGTTTTAATGGCAGTTATCAATCTCAAACACTTTATGTCCTCAACTGATGTCCTGTAAACACAGCATCACATAATACTTCATCATCACAAAAATAAATCTTAAAATGAAACATCTGTATAAGCATCATTACTACACATATTTATGATGTTTACAAACAGAATATTAATAAATTCAATAAATCAAATAAGCCAGAGATACGCATCCACATTTCTATAAGATCATTCCTTAAAATCTTTATTTGCACAATTGAACTTTGTACTATAATTATATGACTCATTATAAAACTGCTTTCCAGATACACAAATTCTAATGACATAAGTGCTTTTTATAATATCTGAATCAAATCTCAAAATAAATAACCAACTAAAGAAAAATCAGATTAAGCTCAAATTATATATTGAGTCAAAATTGTTGATGTAAGCATATGACACAAATTAGATTAAAATATACCTCAAGACTATTCCAGAAATATCATACATAGAAAAGAACCTAATCCCACACAATACACACATAATTACACAGACTATACAGAACATCACACAATAGAACCTAAAGGAAAGGAGCCTAAACAAATTCCTACCTATTTTTCATCTCAAAGCTTCGCATTGGAAGGTGGACATTGGGCACAACAGCAGCCTGTGGTGGCTTCCAGTTTGAGTTCCTGGACCGAACAAAGAAAGAAATAGCTAACACCATCAGGAAACCAACACTTAGAAACTACTTTTCCTTAATTATACAACGCTAAGGGAAACACCCTTCCAATAGACTTTTTATTTTGGGTAAATTTCACAAAAGATGCTGGCAAAAAAATACAAAAGATAAGCTTTCCTATGATGAACATTAGAAGACGCCAAATAGTAACTCAATAAATTGCAAACAGAATGAAGAAAACACCTTAATAATTTAACTCCAGTTATCATTTTGCTTCTTTTCATTGCGTCAGACAGAAGATTCTGGGTCAGAAGAGGTACATACTTCACAGTAAAGGACAGAAATTTAAAAAAAATCGCCACCTTAACGGGTCCAAACTTATTAACGGCGACTTTAAACACTAATGATCAGTTCTTTTTGAAAGAATAACCTTTAAAATAATAAAATATCGACCACTAAAATGATCTATTGAGAAATTATTAACCACGACGATCGAATAAAAAACAGAGCAACAGCTTTGACCTTCTGTTGCTATAGAGGATATTGGAGCGGTAAACTGGAAAATGGGAACGTTTCAAGTAGACACTGTTACAGCTCTCCAGCAAGGCCATCACTGAAAGCGACTCCTCTAACGAACCGAACTCAAATCCCACAGCAGAAAATCAGCAAGGAACAGTGCTGCTTATTCGATATGTACCCTCCAATTTCGCGATCTACCGTAACGAAACTGCGAATGAAGTGCAATATGCTATCTAATCGTTGGATTCAATAATAAGTTGAATAAAAATAAATCACATTATTTAAGGTTAAAATGCATGATTGTCAATATAAATGAATGAAAGTGAACAATAAAGCAATCAAGTAAAGTTGCATGACTACTAAAGTGGTACTTCAGGATATAGATGAAAGGATGGAAGAAGAGTACAAGCAGGAGAAGACAGTGAACCGTAGAAAGCAATGCAACGAAAACAGGAGACGCCGATGCCGATGCCGACGCCGACGACAGCTAGAAGAGGCGGCAGGTATAGGAGCAAGAAGAAGCTCTCAGGGCGTTTAGGGATTTCTAAAGTGGAGGCGGAAGGTTGCAAATAAATAAATGCATTTTAAGGTCTAAATCACTATCAGATATTAAATTAAATGAATTTGATGTCATCACGTTTCTCTGTCAAAACAAGTGATTGGAATTCAGCCTTTAGGCTGTTATGAGCAAACTTGCTTGGAAGGTTTTGTTATTGCCCTTTGAGGCTACCTTCGGAAAAGATACTCCTCACAATCTAACAAGTGAATATCAACAAAGTGGTATGTAGAGAAAGAAATTAATTCCCTCACAATTTAACAAATAAAATTTTAAATTATTATTTAAAGAGATATCCACGTTTAATATTAACAGTGTTTTAAATAAGATTATATTAACAGTGATAACAAATTTTAAATAGCAGATTATTTTTTATAAAAACATATATATATATATATATATATATGAATAACCAAGAAAGACGATAACAAATGAATTTAACATGTATAGCAGAGCTTTTTATTTATCAGTTCGTAGATGATATGAGATACTCCTAAAAAAATGAATTTAAATCCACCCTTTTTCAGCCTTTTTTTTATCATTTTTCTTTGATAATTATTCCATTAGACGTCGTTAGTTTATTTTTTTTTATTTGATCAATCAATTTAGTCTTATTTTTTAGTTCATTTTTTTATATCGTGGTGCTTTGCTATTCTTGATTGAGACATTGTTTTACATTAAATAAGGATATCCTTCTCATGTTTAGCATAAAATAAGCACATCCCTCCCAACGTAAATTTGAATCCAGGTAGATTCTTGCAAGTACTAGGTCCATTAGGGCTGATTAACTTCGTTCAAGAGACAATTCCAATTAACTTTTCAAATAAAGTACCAAAAATGACGATTAAAGATTGTATAAGATTACTAATTATAATTAAAGATCTTTAGTATTAAAATTAAAAATTCAATAATGGATCATAATTCTTACTTGAAATTAAAAATATATATAAGTTTATAAAATTGCCCTCACTTAGAAAATAAAAAAACACATTACTGAAATTATTATCATAATTTCAAACTGTTGTTAATCTTAATTAAGAAAATTAAAATCCATATTTAGAAATGAATTGTTTTCTAGTATGAAACTAAACTTTTAAAAGGTAGTTATAAATATATGATAGTCACTTAAAAATTTACCAAAATTATTTTTAAATATGAAGCTAATTACTTGTGAATTTTTGTGCTTGTCAATATCTACATAAATCACTTGAAAAATCAAGAAAAAACACTATTAAAATTACTATCATAAATTGATATCATTGTTAATCTCAATTGAAAAAAAGTAGGATTTTGAGTATTATGGGTTGGAACCACTAAAATTATTATTATTGGTTGGGGTTATTATTAATCTTATTCTCAAGTGTAGATCATGATTTTTTCAATTGAGATTAACAATAATCCCAACTCATAATAATAATTTCAATATTCAATGACAGTTTTGTAAAATCATATATATTTTAATTTCAAATAAGAAATACGGTATTTTTATCATTTCAATAATTTAATATTTTTAATTATAATTAATAATTTTATGGGCTTCTTAATTATCATTTTTCTAGGTGGGCCATTTAAGCACATGGTTTCTCTATTCTCAAAATTATGCTTTTCGGACTTAATCGTAGTAGAATGAATCCAATGAGCGACCTTTGATTGTTATCGCAAACATTTTGTTTGGGCTTTAACAAGCGTTTATGAGCTGATAAATCGAATCTATTTGCTCCTCTCACAAAACCAAGCCAATCATGATGGCTTCTCTAAGGTCGTCATTATTTAAATTAAAAAGATAATTTATAATTAATAAGAATTGGGTATAATAGAAAGAGTTAATCTCTTAAATCTCACATCATGACAAACTAATATTTAAATTCTTGTTAAAAAATATTCACATATTTAGTATTCAATAATAATATGAATAGGATTACCTTCTATATGAAAAACCCCAAAAAAGGATAAATTATAATAAACAAATCTGCCTAGCAAACATAGATTTTGTTTTTAATTTGTGTTTCCTACTTCAAGAAACCACAAAAGATGGATTTGAAATTTTAAGTCATAGATTTTATCGATTGTTAAATTAGTTCTTTTTTTAGGGTTCATTTCATTCTTTAAAGTAGGCATGTGATCATTTTTTAATGATAAAAAAATATTTGATATCATTTGGAAAATATTTACACGTGATTAATTTATTAATTTTTAATTTGGCCAATCAATTTAGTCTATTTTTTTAAGTTTTGATTTAGGTTAAAGGGTATTTTTATCTTTAAAATATTATTTTGATATTATTCTAAGACAATGTATCATAATCTATCAAGTGTCACAATGCCGCCCATGAAGTATTAAAAAAAGATGCAATATTGCTTCTTCATTAAATATCATTTCTTTTGATTGCTGATTGATTGAGAAAATTATAAAAAAGGTCCCAATAAAATATAAATAATTAAGTTAAGAAAATTAAAATAAATTAAATTTTAAAAATTACAGGTAAATGTCAAAGAGCTAATGTTATTGCTTACTCTTGTAAAAAATTAAAATACAATTTTAACCAAAATCCCATTCTATTGAAACAATATGGCATGTATTAAGAAATATAAGTATGTTCAGTGGTGGAGCCTAGATCCCAAGTCAGGGGGTGCAAAATAATTTAATAAAAAATTAATATTTTTTAAAAAATAATAATTATGTTATGACTAAAATTATAATAATATAAATAGTTTTATCATATTTTTTTCTTTTAAAAAAATTTTATTGAACAGATTGATATAGTTTTTTTTTTATAAATATGCTCTTCATATCTTATCTAGATCATTAAAATATTATCTATCTGATAATTTTTAAACATAAATATTTTTTATTTAATTCAGAGGGTGTAAAATATCAAAAATAGGAACTGTAAAGTTGTAAATTTTATATACTTTAATTGTAATTTTTTCTCAAGTGAGAAAGTGCATTTGCACCTCATCAAACCAATGTGGCTCTGCATTGAGCATGTTGAAACTTACTTTAAAGAATGATAGTTATTTAAAGTGATAAAAATACATGTACCTCTTAGATAGATAGTTTGGCCAAGGGAGATTTTCTCTTCTCAATCTCTCACCCTCTACACTTTGCCACAAATAAACTTGGCCATAAGGCTTTGTTTTTATAAAGACAAAGAAAGCCAAAAATAAGCACTACTACCTTTAGGGTATTCACGACACAAGATTTCAAAAAATTATCAGGATTGAATTTTTGTTCCCTATCCCTTTCTATTTCATTAGGAATCAGGACGAGATGGGGATAAGATTGAGATATCCCACTGTCCCAATAAAGCGAACATTGTAGGAGAAAAGCTTAAATAATAACATTCATTAATTAAAATTTTAAATTACATAACTTATTAAGTTTAAAAACAAAACAATATGAGTACATAAATCACAATAATTATTGAATTATATCAATCACAATTAAAATATATAACTTAAAGTCAAGTATACATGAAGCATAACACATTATGATAGCAATTATAAGTGATTTTAGGTTATAAGAGCAACAACAATAGACAAGCTCAACACAACACCAAGGTATTGTTCTCTTTCTTTAGTTAAAATATGTTAAGCTAGTGACTCTTCCTAAAATAAAGCAAGAAATATGATATAAACAAAAGTTATTAAATTGATAGATATAAGAATAAATTATATTAATATAATTAATATATTGTAAAAAGATATTAACATGTACTGTTTCCTCTATATCATCAAAATTATTAATATAAAAAAATTTTAGTTTTAAATAGGAATAGCAAGTATTGAAATTATAATTAATATAAGTATATATTATATTAATATAATTACTATATTTAATATATATTTTAAAATAAAAAATAATATATATCTATATAATATTCAAGATAGGACGAGACGTCCTGAGGTCAATCCCGTGTCCTGTCCCTTCCTAAACCCTTTTCCTATTCTGTCCTGATATGACCAGGATGAAACCAGACCAATCAGAATGGGTATAAATTAAACACCTCTAACTACCTTATAGCACTAACAAGAAAGGATCCAGGGTAGAAAATGAGGTTAACAGGCAATGTTAGAACATTTTTTATGATGAGATCAATTTTAAAGTTGTCTTCTCTATGAATGTACCCAACATCAATAGTCCATTCTCGATGAAGCAAGTTTTGGCATTCAAAGGTCAACTCCCATTTATCATGAAAATCATTCTAAGGATTCTTAATAAGAGTTAGTACCTCCAATGAGTCAATTCTTAAATTCACTTTCCAATTACCACCATCTCACGTTCTTTTGAGATCAACAAAACAAGCTCAACATTAAGCCATAAGAGGATCCTCTTTAAATAATTTAAGCATAAAAGATTCTAAAAGAGATTGATGAGTGTCTTTGATCATACCATCTCAATTCATATCATAATTAAGATAAAAATAAGTATGTCAACATAAACATTGACCCAACCTTCTCGTACTAATGGAAGATATCCCATGTCCTTCCCAATAGCTTAAATATTTATTCTTCTCAAACTCATTGTGCCTAATCATAGCAAAAGACAATAGCCTTGGCCTTGGAAAAAGATGTAGGTTGCAAGTAACAATAGTTTCAATTTTTTTTTGTCATTCTGCACTTCCAAATGAGCCGACAAATAATAATACTTTGCTCCGTCTAATATCCTTCAACCCAGCCTACATTCGCGATCATATTTCAAATAGCACTACCCCCACTAATTACAAATAAAAAATCTTGTGAGAAGACTCAGTTTAATGATAGAAATCCACATAGCTTTTATTTCTTCATAGTTGGAGCTAGTAATTCAGGAAAACTAGGCTTATTTGAGATAGCCAAAATACTTCTGAACTTATAAAAAAGCCCATATAGCAAGCCCAGCCAAAACACTCTCTAGTTTTAGGCTTATTTTGGTTTATTCGGGCTGACTAAATATCCAAATTGTACTTTTTTCTATTTTTTTAAATTTTTATTATAAGATTCCTTGGAAGGCTTGCAAAGTCTCTTCTTCATCTTTCAATGGTTCTAAGTACAAGACA